ACGTTGGCCTGAGGGGCATTTTGGTCATTTTACCTATTTTCGCGCCTTAGCTTTAATTTTAATAGTGGAACTAGTTACTTGCGATGTTATTTACAATATGTAGTTGGTTTGAATAGATTTGGGCCACTGGGAGTCAGATACTCGTGGCAAGGGCATTGTTTCTTAGCGATTTTTTTACCGGTTCGAGGTAAGTGGCTTGTCTAACTTTGTGTGGGGGACCTTTCCCCTGAGGATGTGCTATATTTGATAATTGAAATGTCCCGTGAGGTGACGAGCGCGTACTTGAGCTAATTGTTGAAAATCCGGTTTTTCCTTAAGTATTTCAATTGAGTTCTTTTCTTGTTTTATTCTACTTGTGAATTTAGCATGTTGCTAGTCTAGAAAGGCATGTTTAGTTGACTTAATTGCCTATTTGCTTAAATTGCCTGAATTGCATTACGTGAAGCATGTTAGGCTAGAAGTAAATGTTTACTTGGTACGAAATTAGCGTTTAATTTAATATTCTTGTGTTGCTGCTCTGTGTTTTAAATTGGGACTACGGGTTAGATTCTCGGGAGATTCCCCCTGCACATTTACTTTGGGACTACGGGTTAGATTCCCGGGAGATTCCCTCTGCACATTTACGTTGGGACTACGGGTTAGATTCACGGGAGATCCCTNATTGTTTTAGTCTTGAGATATTGAGTCGTATATGCCGAGTGGCATTCAGTACAATTTCCTTTTTTTTTTTGATAATTAAATATGGTATTCTATTTTTCCGCAATTATTATGTTTCCGCAAGTGTTAGGCTTACCTGGTCACGAAGACTAGGTGCCGTCATGACATATTCACGGTTGGTGAACTAGGGTCGTGACATAGACGAACCTGCATGAAAATAAAGATAAACAGTGGCGTTACAATTTTGTAGAATCTTTGTAGATAAATTGTAGATGAAGAGAAAATTTTGTAGTAAACATTTCAACATAGATTGTAGTTTAATTGTAGTATAAATGTAGTAATTTTGTAGATAATCATGAAAACAATATTGCTTTATACATCATAAAACTGATGTGTAGTTTATTTGTAGATAAATGTTGGAATTTTATAGATATTACCGTAAAATCAAACTTCCATAGAATTTGAAACATAACAAACCTGCACTTGTGTTCTCATTTGTAATAGTCAATTCCATATTGAAATCTCGTACACTTATAAGTAACGGATACGATCCTAAGTTTTTATTCTCTTTTTTTGTCTCCATATACACATGAACCCCCATATTGTTCCTAATCTCCATTGGAGGACAGTTCTCATTCACAATGTATTTGATTTCTATAATTTTTTCTGAAGTATCAATCATTAATTGCTCTGCAATTGTAGAAATCAACATATTGTAACTTGCATCCTCATCGAGCACAATGTCATCAACTTGAAAATCTCTAAATCTGCCATAGCTATCCCAATTCCCATTTAATTGTAGCATGACTGGAATTTTGGACATGATTGCGTGTCGTTGCTGAGGTATTGTTCAATATTTTGTCGCTTTTTTGATTTTTTTGCATTAAGAAAAAAAGACGAAGAACAAAGAATCGATAGAATTGATTTCTACAATTTGACTTGAATTTGTTGAATATTTTATCGTTTCTTTGATCAGTGGATTGATGAAAAAAGTCAACGAATTGAGCTTTTGCATAACTGATTTCTACAATTTGATGTGAATTTGTTGACGATTTTGTTTTTTTTGGACTTGTGGCTTAAGGGAAAATATCGAAGAACAGAGTTTTTGCAAAAAAGAGTCTATGTAATTTGATTTTAAATTGAAGATAAAAGGATTTTCGTTTCAAATTTGATCTGAAGGTACCTAAATCAATTAGAATATTCTGTTCCTGATTTGTAGCGCGCCTAATTAGGAAGATTCAGCTACTAATAATTAGTATTTAATGAATGGTATAATAATTGTAGAAAAAGTGTGAACATGGTGGGTAAATTAGAAACTATGCACATATTTGGTAATAAAGTTTCATATATGGTATAGGAAAGAAAAAATCTCATTTTAATTTGGCCGAGTATGGTTTTTGACTTAGAAAATGGCCCTTTTTCTTTCTTTAATCTTTTATCTCCTTTTGACTTTAAATCATAATTAATTAAAACCTAAATTGAGTCCTAAATTAATTTAATTTGTAAATATTAAAATTATTTATATATTTCTATGATTTTAAGCTATTAAATATGCAACTGAACCCAAAACCAAACAAAGAAAACTCCTAAAATTATAGGTGCTCACAATATATATATTCGATATTAAATAGTGAATATTAAAATTTAGGATCTTAAATCAATTTAATATTATGCCAATATATGGTATAGTATGTATATATACACACACACATTAAGTGTATAGTATATAAGCTATATTCGATATAACATTAGCTATATTAAGATATATATATATATATATATATATATATATATATATATATATATATATATTGTACTATAATTTATATACTATACATTTAGTGTGTGAAAGCCCGACGAAGGGCATTTCCGTAAATATTAGTTGTTTCATGGGTAAATCCATATCT